CAAAGGTAACAAAAATTTGTTTGTTAATAAACTAACATGATCAGAGCACAATGCACACGACACCCAGGCCTAAAACATGAGAACACTGAGAAAAAGAAACTATAAATATGCTTCTAATAAACCAAATCCTTGCAGAAATCATTTCGTTTGCAGTTGTTAGCTCTGGTTTAGGTCTCCATTTGATTTTAGAAGTACCTCAGATGAAGAATTCAATTTTTTGTTACAAATGTCACCTAATGGTAAGGAGCAACACAGAACAGGAGATAGCGTTCAAATCTAGGGAAGTACAGTTCATGGATCGCATAGTCTTCTGTTTCAGAAATTTCAAGAGAAAACCATTATCTTTCACTTATGATGTATAGTCCTCCTGGCAAACCGATCACAGTTTTGTATAGCAGAAACTGGAATGTGACAAAGTTGTTATGCAAGATGGAAGGTCATCATCATATTAAGAGATTTTGAACTAAGTTCTTCAAATTGGACAATGAAGAGTGAGAATTGCTAGTCTGTGGTGTTAGTTCAGTAGACATCACAGAGTTGTAGGGTGACTAATGAACTTGCAAACTGGAGCTTGTCCTCAAGCACTAGAGAGAACTGTGACTAACTCTAAAGATGAAGCAAACTTTGATGGCTCCCTTAAATTATATCACAGCTGTAAAATACTTTTGCTTATCATAAGAAACTGTACATAATACACAGAACAAAGTTGCTGCCTAACTCACAGTGTTTCCAGACTATGGGATGCTACTGATGATTCTTAAAAGTGTGCATAAGATCTCTGATCTACCATGGAAGTACAATTCTCTGTTCTTCCTTGCATGACCATCTAATGCTCAAGAGTATTAAGGAAACACAACAAAAAACTGTTAAACAATAACTGATAACATAAATTTGTAGTGAGGCAGCTGGTTCAATATTGTTACCTATGGCTTACACCTGACAAAGATTGATCAAGAATGCTAAGATTATTACTAGCTTGGTAAAAAAGTAAAGGTAAAGGTTCCCTTGCTCGAAAGCCAGTCGAGTCTGACTCTAGGGTTGCAGTGCTCATCTCCGTTTCAAAGCTGAAGAGCCAGCGCTGTCCGAAGACGTTTCCGTGGTCATGTGGCCGGCATGACTAAACACCAAGGCACATGGAACGCTGTTACCTTCCCACCGAAGCGGTACCTATTGCTTTCGAACTGCTAGGTTGGTAGGAGCTGGAACTAGAAATGGGAGCTCACTCCATCATGCGGCAACCCAGGTCTCGAACTGCTGAACTACTGACCTTCCACAGCCTGCAGTTCAGCGTCTTAACCACTTGAGCCACCGCAGCTCCTTACTAGCTTGGTAGGAATGGGGAAATTTCGTTTTCAGAGGATTTTTTGTTTGTTCATTAGCATGAAGGCTCCTTTTTCAGTTGTTAAGCTCAACATCACTGCTTCACCAGTTGCAACATGCCACATCTATACATCAAGGACAGCAGCATACAGAGTATCCACTCACAGAGATGTAGCAAAACAGCAAAATCCTTCTGCATGTTGATGCTTCTTCTGTAATTAATCACTTAAGGATGCAAAATGGAAGATGAAGGAGATATTCTTGTTCTCAGAGTCCAGCATCGCAGGATGAACTTGGTGCAGCCAGTATTTTAGGCTAACCTACTTCACAAGGTAGTTGAGATAATCAAAAAGAGGAGAGGAAGGCTCATTCTGCTGCTCTGACCTCCCTGGAGGAAGGTTAGGATAAAATTGTGATGGACAGCTAGGCTCTATCTTTCCCCCAATCTGTTTAGCCCACTGGATCCTCCTGACCTGGCCATGAATTCTTATTTCCACACCTGGCTTATTCTTTTCCTAAGCAATAACCACATCCTGGCATTGACTATGTGGGACTAGTCTTGTTCTAGGCTTCCCTGCCTGGCAGCATGCTAATTTCTCTCCTAGCCTCTGTCCTTCTAACCCAGGCTGAATGCAGATTCCCTGCATTCCATCCTCCTTGGGCTTAACTTCTCAACTCAAACTCTGACTTCATATAGTCCGGAGGTAGAAAGAAATATGGATGGCAGGTTCTTTTTTCCTTTTTATTCAAATAAAACTACTAGGCATGTTAAGGTATGTGTTAATTTCATACATAGTCAGACAAGAGTTCGTTTCTTTGGTGCTGTCATTATTTCCCACAAAAGCCACATTAAACAATTATAGTTCTGGTAATTAACCAGTAAGTATAATGCACCGTTTTTCTATCCCAATCTATTAACAGCTGCTCAAAAATATAGTAATTAATGGTTTCATTTATTTTTGGCAAACCTGCAATGCGACAAATAATTTTCTATCTACTGCAAATTAGGACTCCTTCCCAAACAACAGATGACATGGTGGGAAAAAGGGAGCAGGGATAACTCTTGCACATCTTTGCCTCTTTAGAAGATCAAATAAGGAGCAGCTGTAATTCTATTTGTCACATCTGTGTAACAAAATATAGTAATCTTAATCATCAGAAGTAAATGAACAAGCTCTGTTCAGATGGAAATACAATGGCCCCCTCCACTCTGGTGGGAAAAAGCTCACTACAGGCAAATAAAAGTTTTTGCTCTCAGCTTTCCCACTGGTGTCCTCAGCATTTTTAACAACAGCTAGTTACTAGTTATATTACATAGTAAAAATTAATAAGGATATATTGATTAAATTATACCTATATATCATCAAAAAGGCCAGAAATTAGTCCGGCTACTTGTGTCAAGAAAATGAGAAAATGCAATCTGCTTTTAAATAAAAGTGTAATACATCACATATTTAGATAAGCATTATATTTTTTTCTTTTTCAGTGTTTCTTATAACCATTATCAGTTCCTCCTGAGAGAGACACTTTTGAAAAAATCAGCTGTATAATAGATTTGTTAGCCATGGTGTCTACTCACACTGGAACGTTCATCTCTAATGCTCTGAACAAGAAAACAAACAAAAAAAAATGGAGGAGAATTTGCACTTGGGATGTCTAAGAAAAAATGCGAAAAGCAGATCAACTGCTTTTAATTTTGGTGAAGGAAAAGTGATAATTTTAAACCTTGGTTGTGATAATTACTGGGCAGTTATTCCAGTTGTGAAAATCAACTGAGAGGAACTGAAGCAATATAAATTGCATTTAGGGGTATGTACAAAAAAATCAGGATTTTTCAGATTTGGATATATTGTACCCCGAAAAATCCAAGATTCCTGGAAAAAAACCCATAACGAATTCCAATACCGGTATGGTATTCGGATTTTTTTTTAAAAAATCCCGAATTTCCCCTGCTCTATTATACCCTATAGGACCATTATAGTCAATGGGGAATCTATCTAGGAGTATCCAGAGGTCTGGGGGGGGGGGCTGTTTTTTGAGGTAGAGGCACCAAAATTTCAGTGTAGCTTCTGGTGCCTCTCCTCAAAAGACCCCCCTCCCAAGTTTCAAAAAGATTGGACTGGGGGGTCCAATTCTATGGGCCCCCAAAGAAGGTGCCCTTATCCTCTATTGTTTCCAATGGTGGGAAAAAACAAACCAGAGTCTTTGCAGAAGAAACTGAAGGGGGGGGTTTTCCAATCCCAGCAGAACCAGTGCATGTGCCAAGTGTCCCGCAGAACCAGTGCCACTGTGGCAATGCCAAGTGGGGGTGTGTGTGCAAGCACAGCACAGCCAGTGCATGTACAGAGTGCCCAGCAGAACGAGTGCATGTAGAGAGTGCACAAAGAAGGTGCCCCACTGTTGTCAATGGGGACAAAGAAGGTGTCCCCATCTTCCATTGTTGTCAATGGGGAAAAAAAGAAAGCATTTAAGGGAAGGCACTGGGTTTTGCTGGGCACTAGTACATTGCACCAGTACTGCTCAGCACTCTGTACATGCACTGGCTATGCTGGGCTGGGAACCCCCCCTTGGATTTGTTGAGTTGGTATAGCCACAGTGACATTGGTTCTGCTGGGCACTCTGTACATGCACTGGCTGTGGTAGGCTTACAAACCTCCCTCCCAGCTTGGATTTATTGAACTTGCATTGCCACAGTGGCATTAGTTCTGCTGGGTACTCTGTACATGCACTGGTTCTGCTGGGCACTTTATACATGCACTAGCTGTGCTAGGTTTGCAAATACCCCCCCTTGCTTGGATTTGATGAGCTGGCATTGCCACAGTGGCACTGATTCTGCAAAAATGTCCCCCCTTCAGTTTCTACTGCAGAGACTCGCTGGTTTGACATCAATTCTTGCTTTTTTGCTATTTTTTCCTCCATTGGAAATAATGGAGGATGGGGCACCTTCTTTGGGAGCCCACACAACTGGACCCCCTGGTCCAATCTTTTTGAAACTTGGGAGGGGTCTTTTAAGGAGAGGCACCAGAAGCTTCAGAGGATGGCGGAAGACAGGAGGGCCTGGCGGGAGCTGGTCCATGGGGTCGCAAAGAGTCGGACTCGACTGTGCGACTGAACAACAAACCAGAAGCTATTCTGAAAATCTGGTGCCACTACATCAAAAAACAGCCCCCCCAAGCCCCGGATAGATTCCCCATTATACCCTACGGGGAGCATTGATTATAATGATTCCCATAGGCTATAATGGAGCCAAAGTCATTTAAAGGTGTCATGATCTCTTAAAATGTGTTTGTGAAGTTGCAGCTTTACTTGGAACATTTAACTGTGGCTATCCTGTTTCCCCAGATAATCCCCCCTCTTTTTTGGATTATCCGGGATTGGCTATGATCGTAGCCGAAAATACACCCCTCTCCATATCTGGCTGAAAGAATAGCTGATAAATACAACTAAGGCACTTCCTTGCTATTTTTTCGGCTTGGATAGAGCTGAATGCACACTCCCTACTTGCATTATGTACACAATTTCAGAGAAAACAAAGGTACACATAAGGTAAGTCCTAATTGGACAATGTCAGGTACAGTCTCTCTACTTATCTACAAATACCTACATCTATCAGGTAAACTATTGGCTTGGAATCAAAATGTCATTTAAGTTATAAACTACAGTGTACATTTATAGCTCACCTGCTTGCTGTTTTCACAGAGCTGTTTTTCTTGTGTCCTTTCTCTGATCGGTTGTCTCGCAGGAGCTGAAGCTACATAAAACATTGAAAAAAAATTAAAAACCAAGCCAATACTTGGAAGTTGTAGAAATAAGTACCCTCAAGCTTTCTCGTGTTTTTGTGCTACATTTCTTAAGCACTGGGCTTGACAGTCCTGAAATAATAAATCCATAATGCATTTGTTGAAATGACAATACAGTAAAACTTGTTTCTTTTGTCTTCTGAGGTATCTAGCTGTCCTGTTAGTAATGTAGAATATACTACTGAATAATATTTAATTTAAATACATTTATTTATTAAAGTAGATTTTTTTTTTTACCACCCTTCCCCACTTGCGTGGGGCTCAGGGCAGTTCACAACAATTTGGCTCAAATAAGTATAAAGTAAGTTAAAACCATAAAGACACAATATTTAAAACATTCAGAATATTTAAACAGTTTAAAAACAAGATGGCAGTGCTCGCATTCAGTCATGGGGGTGCTAGCAGATCTACCTTACACGCCCTGTGAAACATTAATAGATCAGATAGGGCACGGATGTCAGTTGACAGAGAGTTCCACCAGGCTGGGGCCAGGGCAGAGAAGGCCCTGGTCCTGGTTGAAGCCAGTCAGATATCTTTTGGACCGGGGACCACCAGAAGGTTCTCGTCCGCTGATCTTAATGCCCTTCAGGGGACATACCAGGAGAGGCGGTCCCAGAGGTACGTAGGTTAAGGACTTTAAAGATAAGCACCAAAACCTTGAATCTGATTGGGTGCTCCACCGGCAAACAATGTAGCATGTAATTTCATGATCTCACTGCATTTTAAATTTATTTTATTAGAGACACACATTCAAATTTCATGTCACCTTCAGTAAAGCCAGAAATATGGAAACATCAGTGACCTATATGATAGAATTGCTGTAAGAATGAATAAGTGTTCTGTATGGTATAATGCTATATTAATAGTACACAAACTAGTATCTGAACATAAAGCATTTCTCAGTTCTTCACTGTATTTATGGAGTGTGACATACCACTATAAACCAAGTTTAATAAGATTCTAATAATGAAAGGTAACATATCTGAAGTTTATTAGGTTTAAACGTTTCATAGAAGAAAAAAATGTATTCTTCAACTCCCTCCCAACAAATTTCAGATATTAATAGGGATTAGGGAATATACAATTTTAAATAAACTTCACAAAATTCTGCTGTCCAACAAAATAAAACCATCTGCTGTAACATTAAAAGATAATTCTAAGCTCAAGCCATAAAATTAATTGTCTTTAAAAATCTGTGTTATGAAGACTGACAGTGCCACCCTAAGCAGAATCATACCCTTCTAAGTCTGTTGAAGTCAATAATAATTTTTTCCAAATATATCTAGAGCAGGAAACTGGCTAGACAGGTGATTGGGTTTTAAATGACAAAGTAATTAAAGGATTGCTTAAGGAAGATGGGAAGATGACAGAGAAATTAAATGAATTCTTGGCATCTGCTTTCACTGTGGAAAAATGTGCACCATTGATGCCACAGCTACTGTGAGTCAAACTGAGGTGACAAGAGATGAAGTTGTAGGACTACTAGGCAAACTGAAAACCAGTAAGTCTGCAGGTCCAGATGGCATACACCTGAGGGTTCTTGAAGAACTCAAATATGAAACTGTTGATCTACTAAAGTTGATGTACTAACATAATATGTTGCTGCTAAAATGGGTCTCTGTGTTAGATGACTGGAAAATAGCAAATGTTACCCAATTTTTAAAAAGGAGTCCAGAGGGGATCCAGGAAATTACAGGCCAGTTAGCCTTTCATCTGTTCCAGGTAAATTAGTAGAAACTATTATTAGAAAGAGAATTATTAAGCACGTTCAGCAAAAGAGTTTGTGAAGGGAAAATCAACATGGCTTCTGCAAAGGGAAGTCAACCTCACCAATCTCTTGGAGTGTTTTGACTAGGTTAATACACATGTGGACAAGGGCAATCTGTTAAACATAAAATATACTTGGACTTCCAAAAGGCTTTTGGCAGGGTACCCCACCAAAGACTCCTGAGTAAGCTTAAAAATCATGAGATGAGAGCATGTATCCTCTTATGGACCAAAAAGTTGGTTAAGTGGCAAAAAACCAGAGAGCAGGAATAAATGGACAGTTCTTGCAATGTAGGGAAGTGAGCAGTGAGGTCTTGCAAGGATCAGTATTAGGACCAGAGCTATTTAATTTGTTCATAAATGATTGGAATTGGGGCTAAGCAGTGTAGTAGCCAAATTTGCAGATGATACCAAAGCATTAAGGATGGTAGAACCAAGCTGGATAGTGCAGAGCTACAGGAGGATCTCTCTAAATCGGGTGAATGGGCAACGATACTCAAATGAAGTTCAATGTGAGTAAGGTTTAGGTAATGCACATTGGGACAAAATTTCTAGCTGTTAATATATGGTGAAGGGGTCTGAACTGGTTGAGACTGAGACTGAAATAGATCTTGGAGCTGTTGTGGAAAGCTCAATGAAAATGTCAACCCAGTGTGTGGCGTGGGTGCTAGATGTTATTAGGAATGGGATTAAAATAAAGCTACCAATATTGTAATTGGCTTGCCAAGTCCCCCCGGGGGGCGGGGAAACCCCTGCCCCAGAGGCCCGTTCCCCGCCACTGGGGGATCGGGCCCCGGGGGGAACCCCACCCCCAAAGTACGCAACGTGCACGTCACCTGGAAGTGATGCGACCACGCCGCGCACGCTGGGGGCGGGGCCACAGTCATCCAAGGGAAAACTCTATGGTTTTCCCTCGAATGGTCGTGGCCCCACCCCCAGCGTGCCTGGCGTGGTTGCATCACTTCCAGGTGACGGGGTTGCAGCGTGCGTGCGCCGGGAGCCCCCCTCTCCAGCAGCAGGTAAGACTTGGCAAACCTATATTGTAATGACATTGTATAGATCTATGATGCAGCCTCATTTTGAATATTCTGTGCAGTTCTGGTCACTGTATCTCAAAAAGTACACTGCAGAGCTGGAAAAAGTACAAAGAAGGGTTTACAAGCTGCCTGGGGCAAACAGCATGTATCCTCAGTTGAATACCCAAATGAACCACCATCATGGCTCCATTAAGTGGTGCATTTTGCATTTTTTCCTCTAGTCTATATAACCCTCAGGAACTGGAAGACAACACAGCAGAACTGCCTGTACACATGGCATAGCAATGACGAGCCAGGTGCAGACAGGGCTGAGGTTCTCCATTTAACAATGAAAGGGTGGCAAACTTCTGAGGTTAACAGCAGGAGAAGTAGTACACTGCACATCATGATAGCAGAAATGGGAAAGAAGGGAAAAGTCGCCCTAGCCAAGCAAGAGGAAAGAACAGAGCATGTGCAATAATCTCCTAAAACATTATTTGCATAGTGCAAGACTGACATAATATTGTCCACCACATTCTGTCTGAGAGAAAATCTTAGTCAAATGCAAATGCTAAAAAAGAGTGACCCTAGAATAGCCAGGGCACATGATTAAGAGGCTTTCAAAAATATTTCAGAATTTATATTCTTGGTTTCAGCTGTGGCCCCATTCTGGTCAGGACTGGGGATGCTTCTCCATCCCGTAGTATTTGCTCCCTCATCCTGCCTGTTGTGCTATTAACTTCATCCTTTAAGAACTTTAGTTATAGTCCTGAAAACTCTTTATGGGGATTCGGTAACACAAGACCACATATTTTAAAAGCCTCTTATATACAACTGTCCTTCTGAATTAACATCCATACTTTCAAGCTCATCTGCAAGATTTTCATATGGCTCTAAAGAATGAATACTTTTCACGAAGATAAACTAAATTTTAGTCTGACAAAACAAGAACCACTTGAAGTGCTTTCAGACTGAACCCAAGACTTCTTTAGCAAATGCGAGCTTCGATGCACACAAAAGATTCCTGTGAACACAGGTGCAGGGTTTCAACAGCATTCCTCATTCACTGCAACTTCATTAGAATTAATGAGGATGCTGATGATCACTGGGAGAACAGTAGAGTGTCTGCAAAGCTTTGTATTGATCAGTTTGTTAAATAGTTTCCATAGATTTAAGCAAGAATGAGACATATATTGCTCCTTATCTGATAAACTGAGGCCTGTTCTGCTGGACAGGAGACAGTTAAAATTCCTTCAGATATATGAAATAAATTGTTCTTGATCAAAGTGGCTCTTACCTGGCTATGTTCCTTCCTAGCCCCAGGGCTAAACCAATGGCTATGGGAGAAAGAGAAAAAAAATCAGTAACATAGCTAACTGAAGCATGAGCTGTCATATGACCAGCTTGCGTGTGCTTTTGGGTATTTTATTGTCCACCAGAAAAATGTAGCCTTTGGCTATGATTTATTTAAATGGAATATTTTACAGAACTCTCAAGGTCTGTAGCAGTTTTCACAGGAAAGCAAGAATGTATTTCATTCTGCAGATTTCTGCTGCTTAGAGGCAAGTGAATACACACAAAATCAACCTGAAAGAATATTGTCCCATATATTCTGCAGTTCTTTGTATACTATATCCTTTGGACATGTTTTATTGTGTTTGTACTATCAAAATCTAAAGTTCTTAGCATTGTATAATAGAACTGAAAGTGTTGATGACTATAAGCTTATTTGTTCATCCATTCAATCATCATTAAAATATTTGGGCGCACACGCACATTCTTTAAAATGAAAAACAACTGGGCATTAAGGGCACTTTTTAAGTTACAGGAAGTCAAAGCACTGACACTGCAGTCCATTGCAGATCAAAACTAAACAGAGTCAGTACATCTTGTTGGTGTTAGGCCCTTTGGCAATTCTGATTGGCTCTTAATGCGCACTAAGCACTGGACCATGCTGCTGCCACTTGCAAGAGATTACAAGCACCAACTGCAGTAATATCAGCTATCCATAAGAGGCATGTTGAAAGTTGAGGGGCATAAGAAGCAGCAAGGGGCAATAAGGAAATAGCAAATGTATAAATCAGTATCACTGCTTATACATATCGAGAGAGACAACACACACAAATATTGTTAACTGAATTAAGTATTTCTGTTTGCAAATGAATTTGCCTCCAATCAATTTTTGGTACAATAACAGAAGGTAAAGCACATTTAAATTCTATTGAGTTCAATGGGCGGATTCAACACCTGTTTAAACTTTGCCTGCACAATGCTCTATCCTACATTTTTAATACATATCTTACTTATAAATATATACAGAATGCAAATTTCTTATTTGAGTAATACATTTCAAATAGGGATGGGCATGAACCAGACCACAGACCAAATTTTTCCACGGACCAGGGCCCAGTTCATGGTTCATTTGCCTGGTCCATGCCCTCCCACTTTCCATGGACCACCCAGGGTTTTCTGGAGGTTCAATTGGTCCATGAGCAGTCCATGGTATCGTGCCACTGCAGTGGTGATGCGAGAGAGTTCAGAAGGCATTTAAATGCCTCCTGAATCCACTTCTGGTTGCAACCAGAAGACAACTCAGAAGCCTGGAAGTGGACTCAGGAGGCATTTAAATGCCTTCTGAGTGCCCTCGTGGTGTGCTGTGGTGGTGGCACAATGCAGAAGTGAACTAAAAAGGCATTTAAATGCCTTCTGAGTTGACTGTGGCATGGCATTGCCACAGTGACGGTGGCCTTTCAAAAGCCATTTAAAGGGGCTTCCGGTATGGCGCGATGACAGGTGGGCGGGCGCTAGTCGCGCTCCGAGCCGCCTGAACCTTTATCATTATTTCCGAGCCTCCCAGGTCCTGGAAGAGCCCGACCAACACTCTCTGACGGAGCATAGGAGCAGGGGGCTTCGTTTCCGGCCCCTCCCGTAGCCTGGCAAGTGCGGGGGGGGGGTGACCGGTTTTGCCCCGAAGCAGTAGCGATAGACGGAACGAACATGGCTGCCATGTTCGTTTTAGACGCTGCCTCCAGTTTTTAAACTTTTTTTTTTGTTATTTTTTGTTCATTGTGGATTCAATGCTTCACATTGAAAAATCGTTTGTGTCCTCGTGCGTATTCTCTCGTCAAGTTGAAAGGATTATTTACCCCGGGTAAATTTTTCTCCAAGTACATGAAGAAAACGGCTACTGAAAGTGCTGGGAAATTAAGAGTGAGGAGACTGAAAAGGGGTAAGAAAACTGCTTAAAATATTACCACCTTATACTACTTATGCAACATGGAAAGATATTTGGAACTCCCCAAGTAGAAAGATATGTATGTTAAGAGGGTTGAAGTGAAAGAATGGAGGCAGCAAATATGAAAGAAAAAATGGATGGAGATATAAAACTGTGTGACCTTACGAGGGAACAGTGGGAACACTTCCAAAAGCAGTTGATTGAAGAAGCGATACATACATTTAAAGTGACTTGTGAAAATTTGTTAAGAAACTCTTATAATGAAACCGTAGAGGTACAAGAAATAATACAGGGAACTCAAAGAAAAGATGAACTGTGTGAAAAGGAACAGGAAAGAGAGCCATTGGTGACCCAGGCTGGGACTATAAAAGAAAGTCTACTGGAACTCGATGCTGTTAAAGATTCTGTGGCAGGGCAAGGAAATTTGGAAATAGGACGAATACAAAAGGGGCGGCGGCCCGCACCTAAGAGGAAAAGCAGGAAGCAAAAAAGACGGAAAAAAGTAAATATAAGAACAAAGGACTACAAAATTCTACGTCAACCACATATTTGGAACTATGGAGAAGATGACCAGGGAATTAAAAGCCAGGTGTATAAAGACAGACGTCATATAGAAGAGAACAGAAACAATCAAGAGAAAAAAGAACTGGATAATAATATTGTGGTGAGGACTATGTTAACTAAAAACTATTATTTTCCTTTTACTTTGCTTCTGTGTAGAGAGTGGAAATTCGATATGATGGCTGGGGGTACCTATAAATGAGGGTGGACAAACTTAAATTAACTGGAAATGAACTGTAAGTAGTGCTAGTAACTATTACAAAAATTATTTTTGGAACTATATTTGTCCTAGAGAATTTAAAAAGAGGCTTATAAGCTGAATAATTATGAGATTGAAACTATCTCTAGGGCTATGACATAATTAATTTATTTGTTTTATTGGTATTTACTTTTGGGAAAGTTGCTTATGTTATGCCTATGTTATGTTAGATTAAAATGAGAACTATGGTTGGTAGAGATTAGTATTATTATTGTTATGTTATTATATAAAGTATTTTTGGAAAGGTATTTATTCCAGAGAAATCAAAAGAGGCCTATAAATTGAGTAATTATTCTAGGATTATGATATTTGTTTATATATAATATTGGGTACTAAATTGAAGTTAAAAGGAATTTTTAGTAAGATGATCATTAAAAGATTGTTGGACTGGTAATGGCCCTATGAATAGAGTAACCTTAAGAGATGAATAACTCAACAGATGGTAGTTACAAGAAGTAGATTAAATTTATTAAAAGTGATTGATTAATTTTGAATAGTTTAGCTGTTTGCATGTTGTAAAAGTAGAAAGAATTTACTAAAAAGTAGTGTGATATATGGAAATATAGAAAATGAGTAATGGTAGGAAAGTAAAGAAGGTAGAATTATGAATAGCAAATTTATTTATTTATTATTATTATTTTTGACCAGAATCACGCAGGACACAAGGGGAAGTTATTGTTGGTTAGTATAAGAACAGAGATAAACTTTAATGATGACTATGTAAGATCAAATTATTAGCAATGTGATGCATTGAAAATAGAAGATTGTGGAGATTTATGTTTGTGTGTCTAATAAGTATGAATTGTAAACTGAAAATTGAAAATGGTGACGTTGTATGTAAGTGTGTCTATTAAGTGTGAAAATTCAATAAATAAAATTCCAAAAAAAAAAATCATGGTATACGCAATGGTGTTGTTGCTTTCAAGGAATATTTGATAGTATTGATTGTGGTGAAATACCCAGCAGCCAACAGGCTGGTTAATTGACCCGATCCCAGTCTTGGTCCATGGGATAAGTTTTGGCACTATAAAGGAGGACCTCAGTTAGCCAGGGGATGCTGACACGTTTCCATATCTGTGTCTTCATCAGTAGTTTCCCATAACTTTCAGTTGCTCTTTGAACTCCTCCAGGTATAAAAACGAGCTTTCTGTGGACAGCTGCTGAGATGGGGGGAAAGTGACTGCAAGTGGCATTTGTCATCTCTTGTGGCTTCCATTGCTTATCTTGCAGGCTCATGGATACAATACTGACTGTAATATCAAAAAAGACATTTTGCCTTGTCAAATTGCTCAATTCATATGCTGGGTTTTGTACTTTCCAGGTGTAGCTTTTTTGCCACTTTAACCAGCAGTCAATTGCTGGCAAGTACAGTGTGTGAAGCATGCTATACTAGTATATTACATCACTTGAGACATTTTCTGAAGTCACAAAGTACAGGTTAGAAATACAATTGAAACTACTTAGTTTTAATCTGAGAAGGCCTGGCAATAGGAATGGGATCATCAGCTGCTGTCGTCATCAAATTAACTTTTTTTTTTTTTGCTGCAAGAATCCATAAACAATGTCCTTCAATAAAATAAAATAAAATTGGGGATTTCTGAAAAATCTCAGATCTGAATATCATACCAGTATTGGGATCCAGGATTTTTCAGGAATCCCATTTTTTTTCCATATCCAATAGACCCAAACAGAAAAATACCATTAAAAAAAATGCACACCCCCTACTAATCACCTTCTTTAGATTATTTAAAAGGCAGCACCACTAGATTGAGCCTTGGCATATTAAGGGAGTATTTTATTTTATTTAGTTTATGTGAGTTATATTCCGCCCTACCCCGCAAGTGGGCTCAGGGTAAGTTAGAACAAGTAAAACAATAACTATAAAAATCATTAATTCTAATTTAAAATCTGATACCAATTTAAATACCTAAAACATGATGGCGATCCAAAGCTATGGTTTTGCTGTTCAGCTATTTGGACTCAACCGAACTTCTTGGTTCTTTGTGTGATTTTTAATGACTGAATTTCAATAGAATATAGTTTGGTAGTTTTAAAAGTAATTATAGGAGACACTTTTATTTATTTATCAGCTATAACCAGGTTTTACTATATATTATATACTACACCTTTTTTTT